CTTTTTCATTTCATTCCCCAAGCATTACGGTCCAGAGATAAAGCACCGGCAGGTACTCTTGCTTTATGTCAGACTCCTAGTGTTTTGTTTCAGGAAGCCATTACTAACAAAGCAGCCGCGATAGAAGCTTTTGTCTGGTCCTCTGCAGGCTAGCGTCAGCTGCATGTTCACTCTATCCACACCACCATGCTGGTTCAAAGAGCAAAGTGTTGTGTGAATGACTGATATCAGGCTTAGTCATCCATTTGTTGATGATGGATCTGCGTACTTATTGTTTACTGCAGTGTATCTGGAAAGGCGAGGTGTTCTGTGAATGCCTCATCTGCTAAAAACAGCAAGTGGGGGTTCCTGCGCCAGGGAAATCCTGTCACTTTCAGCATGGAGCGAAAGCATGAGAGATGATCCTCTTGTTCATGTTTTGTTTTATCTAACACCGTTTTGTTTGTTTTTTCACTCTTGTATTTTCTTTGTTAGGGCTTTGTTACATAACCACAGCTCCTAATCATAAAAGGTATTGCTCCTCAGACAACCTTTAGGTAACTTTACTTACCACAATATAGCCATTGTTTTTTTATCTATCTAATATTTTTGTTTAGTCCCAATCTCTTTTGCCTAAGAGGCCAAGCCACTGTTCAATCCTATGAGGATACATAATAGCACAATCAAAAGAGTTTAGCTTTTTAGTTGATGTTTAGTCAATGTATTTAACGTCACCAGTCTTGCACATAATGCGCCCTGACCTACAGTGTCTGAGGGAGGCGTGTGAATGTGTGTGTGTGTGTGTGTGCTCTCACCATATGATGAAAGCTGACTGAAACATTATTAACCAGAATATGACATGGAAAAGAGCACCTCTGACACATTGTGTAAAGATGCTATCTGTCTCTTGAGTAATATGTTTGTTTGTGTTTGTGTGGTGCTTGTACATTGTTTGCAGGAGAACATGCACTGGTGGTAGATGTAGTTTCTTGAGAGTTGAGAACACGGTGTGAGCATTATCCATGTTATCTGCCAAATGTTTCTATCCATGATGGCATTATTGCCTGATCATTGTTTGGTGGCCTGCCCCTGCTCTTGGGACAGATGGGAATTGATGATTGGAGATCTTAAGCATTTGCCATGAGATCCAGTGGCCCCAAGTTCAAATGCAAAATCAAGAAGAGCCGTTACTATTCTCTTAATTGATCCTTTGCAGTTCATTTTTTATTATACTATATTTTAAATATGTATATTGTTGTTTCATCGTTTCTTGTATTTGAATAAAACACTACAAACTGGCTCACCTACCATGATTTGAGACACTCTTTCGATCACTTTTTTGACCTGACTTGTACAGGATGGTTGTAAACAGGGTTAGTAGGTGGTGTACCTGGTTTCGCTCATAACAAATTAAATCACTAGAATTTTTTCTTTTGGAGTACAAAACCTGTTGCCAGACCAATACCCTAAAAATATATTATGGTACTCTTTCTTGGAAGTCAGAATTTGATGCATAATATACCCCAAATTACCAAAATGTAGGTCTAAGTCGTGGTATAAGCTTTAGAAAGAGTTTTACCTTTATTTATTATTATTAAACTTTATTGTCAACCTTAGTGGAAATTTGTCTTCAACTTCTCCTAACAGATATACAACAGTGACACCACAGTTAAAATTACATAATAAATGCACACAGTTAAGAGTACGACACTGTACCACCGTCAACATACAACAACAGATATTGGAAAGCAGCGCGGCTGATGGAAATAAAGTATGTTACGACCTACAATAAACACATTTAAAAATGCTTTCAGTTTAAATTCAGTGCCTGTATGGCATGAGGAATGAAAGATCTCTTATAGATGTTCCGGCTCGCCCTTGGGACCCTGAATCGACGGCCAGATGGGAGCAACTCAAACTCTGAGTTTAGTGGGTGTAGGGTGTCTGCTGATATCTGTCTGGCTTTCCTGAGTACCGCCCTATCAAATACATCCCCAAGCTGCCTTTGTTATTCCATTATTTGTAATTTTTTTCTTGTAATTTGCAATGTGAAGTCCCTGTATTGCAGTCCTTAATGCAAACTCCCTTTGTTGTCTGTCTGAGGAGAGTGTATAAAGAAGGACACAGTAGTAGAAAGATCGAGCAAAAGTCCCCATGGCCATCACAAGCATCAACGCTAACTTTGGGGCTAACCTCCTTCACTCAACTGAACAGTTGGCAAGCAACACACGGGCGCTCAGCTTTAGTCTTGAGTCTTTATTCACTGGCTGCTGTAACTTCTACTGTACATTTACTGCTAAACAAGGCTTATTGCTGACCCGTGTTGCTCTATTCACCGTCACTCTAAGAAAAACGGAGAGCTAGCGACCCTGAGGAAATATTTGCTGAATTTATCTAAATGTGTATTGGATTAGAATCGCAAAGCATCCCTTTAAGTCATGTGTGTTCAGTCTACTGTAGTGCACTACTGTTGTGTGCAGGCTAATAACACTGGGTTTGAGCTTTATCACCATGGCCACCAAGTGCCACATTTAAAGTTAATGTCATTTTTGTTTATTACTTTTCATGCTGAATAAAAATGTAGTTTATGTGCTTGTGTTTTCTTTTTCATACATGTAGGTGTGTTTCTGACAATGAATTAGTACATTAATAATTGGATTACTGTAAATAAGTAGATCAAGGTCATTGTTATTACATTACATTTACCTGACGCTTTTATCCAAAGCAACTTACTTACTTAATTGCACGCCTCCGGAGCAACTAGGGGCTAAGTGTCTTGTTCAGGGACAAATTCGTGGACGTGTCACTGTGGGGAATTGCCTCCCTTGATCTGTTTGGGTTTGAAACATCTTTTACAGACGGGCTTTGTTGTGTGCATGGGCTCAGCCTCGCTGTTGGCTACGTAAGCAAAATAATTCCATAGTTCTCTCCATGCGTCTGCTTTGTCGACAAGCCGTGGAAAACCACTTGTGCTTGCAGCCATGTCTCTCCCTCTGTCCCTATAGAAGCTGCAGTTATATGCCACGCCTAGTATGCCTGCAGGAGGTGGTAGCAGAGCAGCGCTGTGCACACACACTTACTGCTCCGCTGTCGCAGCGGCTCTTATTAAAACACTGTCATTCTTAGAGTATCGGTACCAATAAAAGGCACTATCATCATTTTTAATAGCAGGGTATTGTGATAACTTTCTAGTATCAGTATACCATGCAACACTACTTTGTAGCTTGTTTTAGTTGATGTATCTCGGTGGCTTATCACCTCTGCCAAACATTTTTTGTGGGAAACCCTTACCTGGTTCTTTTGTCTGCCCCATACCAAGCACATGAAAAGCATTAACACCAACCTGTGCAAAACGGGATATTGATATTTTTTCATACACCATCTACACCAAATTGTAGACAGTCTACTGGCTCAGACAGAGATTATCACACATACTGAATATCACTGTACTCTACTTTCCACCATCATGGTGACAACGTACTCAGACTTATCCAACGAAGGTTAAAATCATGGGCAACTGGACTTGGTTGAAGATACTGGAAGACGTTTCGTCCCTCATCCGAAATGAAAAGGTGCGCTTAGGTTACAATGATAAAGGCAAACTAGTAACCTGGAGATTATAATTTTAAACTGCAGCTCTGCAGTAAGGAGTTGTCTGGTATTCACCTGCCACTGAGCTGTGGCAGTAGTAGATGTCTACTTCAAATAATAAATGTCCAACATTTAACATATTTCAAAGGGAGATTTCCCCACAAGAAGTACTCTTAATCTGGTCAGTAGGGTCTTATAAGTAGTCAGTGCAGAGTGCACTATGTACAATCAAATGATCATCCACTGAACAGCAGACCACTTGGTAATCATATAAATTGATGTCAGAAGTAACCTAATATACCAGTCGTGCATTATCTATCCCCAATGCATCAAAGAAACGTGAAGGCTCTATGTCGTCCATGCCTTTTAAAATCGACCAGCTACTGGTATATCAGACCCTGACAGTCGTAAAGAAGCTGTCAACGCTGCCCTCTATGATTCACTCCTCTAAGCTGCCCTGAAGTCTCGAATGTAACAGTAGATCAGTAATTCATGGTCACTAACAGCGGCTATTGGCTGGCAGTGACGTAATGGCTTGCATAACGCCATGTCAAGTAACCGTGCCTGGCCGGCACACTGCCACACAGATCACTTGCAGAGCCTTTTGTTAGCCTCTGTCATTTTGAGGAGAAGGCTTCTTGCTGAGCCATTGACGTGTGTGTGTGTGTGTGTGTGTGTGAGTGAGTGAGACAAAAAGGAGTGTCTGGACTGTGCTGGTTTGCAGATGCTACCAGCAAATCCTCATGTTATAATCAACAGGTACCTCTGTTTGAGAGCCTCTGTTATAGGTCTACTTTAATACCCATAATGATGCTTTCCACCTGGCATTGTATCTCTGATTATTTAATCCTTGTTACGACTTCCAAAGTGGCTTTGCTACAGCCATGGAAACAGAGGGAAAGATCCTTAACTATTGTAAGGTCTCATATTTTGGGGGATTTGAAATAAACAGCTCAGTAACTGTCATTGTAGCGACAATATAAAGATGTTTTTCCTGACTACATCTCTTAATCAAATTTGCGATGGCTCTTTGTTGCTTTTAAAGTTAATGTCGTGCGTGACTGTGTCTTTATACCAACATTTGTTTCCCTCACTGCTGCTGTTGTTGTTGTTGTTGTTGTTATTGGTTTCCCGTAGTAGCTTAGCTGTTATTAGCCAGGTTAGCACATGGTGTTTCAAGCCTGTTAAGCCTCAAGTGATGTAAGCATGGGGAAACAGTGTTATGCTGCACTGCTTTCCTCACTGATCTGTAAACTAACAGCACAAACTTGCAAGGTGTTTACATTGATATATTCAAGAACAATTTATAGGATTCGTATGACACACTTTGGAATTTTGAAAACTAGATAATACTGTCTGGAAAATTAGATACCATTAGAATGAATATAAAGATGATTTTCTTATCCCTCTTTCTTTCTCTTTTATTTTAGCACTGCCAGTAACTCAAACAAGAGCACGCCTGCCTGCTCACCAGTCCTGCGTAAACGCTCGCGCTCTCCCACACCACAGAGCCAGGAGGGTGAGAATATGGTCGAGAAGGGTTCAGACCACTCCTCTGACAAATCCCCCTCCACGCCTGAGCAGGTCGTCCAGAGAACATACTCCCTGCAGTCAGCAAGAAGCGGAGGAAAGAACTCAAAGGTAAGCAACCAGGAAATGCTCGCGTTTTACCCATTCCCTTGTTACCTGTTTGATAGAATTGAAGGTTAGCCTTAGAGTTTAAAGCGTGCTTCACTTTTACCGGAGTTTAAAACATATTTAGTATCTAGCTCTCAGCACTAAAACTAGTTCTGTCAAGTGTGTCCTTTCCCCTGAAAAGAGTTGGCACTGTGAAAGGAGATTCCCGTTAGAGAACAATCATACAGCACTTTGGGCCTCACAAAGCTTTTCTAACATTTTCACAGAATAGCTGTTGTGAAAGGCTTTACTGTAGGGACACAAGGTGCCAACTTTGCACACATGGATTGAGGTCAGACTGGTCAGGATAAGGCTTAAGACACTTCTTTGAAGCTGTGAGTTATCTCTGACCGAAAGCATGAACACAGCACACATTACAACTCATTGTATTAGTTGTATGTGATGACTAGGCAGACATACTTGATTCATACCTCTTTCTCTGACCAGGACTGACCAACACTTGACTCACAAACTTATATCTGTATTAAAAGTTGTTACATCCACTTTAATGGTAATACAGAAGGAAACAAAGAGAGTATGAGAGTGCATGTGAAACATTATACAACCCACGTGTTTATTTACAGTAAGTAACATACAGTAAGAGTACGACATGTTATACCTTTCTTGTGTGAAGTAAAAACAAACCAGATGAAATGCGCCTTTTCTTTCTTTCATAGTGTTGTAATGATTTTATAGTGATCAGGGTGACATCATAGTGACATTATGATACTGTAGTTATATATGGCAACTATTGCTGCTTCGTGTGCAGCCATTCATAAACTGCATAAACACGTCACAGTTGTGACATATTCCTTGTTCCCAGTGTAGTGTAGTGATGTACCCTTCATGATTGGTTATTGACTTGTACATAGTGATATGTAATTAGTGAGCTGCAGCTATCACGCTCTCCTCCCTCAGGAGAGATTGCACCCTCCTCTCCATTCCAGCCTTTCTGTTTTTACATCCCATATACTCCCTAGTCTTACTCTCTCTTTCCTTTCCTAAGAAGGTCAGGCAGACAGGACAATGAAACAGGGTCTGCAGGGAGACGATCTGGTGCACACAGTTATAGTTAAAGCTTTAAATATAGTGCAGCAACTAACAAACAGCACGTCTTCATCAAAGTACTGTACATCAGAGTTACTCTGATGACAACATGCTCACCTACCATACTAACTAAACCCATGTTCTCCACACCATATCTTTCCTAAACTAGTGATGTGTTTGTTGCCTCAGTCAAGATAGTTTTGTTTTGGACCCTTTTAATTTGTGTACCTGTTGAATGCATATCCCTACATCTTGTGGACAGATTTCTACAACACACTATGCATATGACAGGCCATGAGGTATGGTTTCCAAGATAATATCATTAGCATTTTTTCTCCTGTTTCTAAGATTGTGTTTAAAAGTTCGTGAAATTATTTCAGCAAATTCTCAAGAATGGTTTGGGTTTAAAGGATAGGTTAACTTTTTTTTTTCAAGCCTGTCCTGAAACAATAGCCAGGGGCCCATATGAACACTGAAACCAGTTTTACTTGCTGATGTTTTTCCCTCTGCTTATCTGGCCATCGAGACATCCTGTCTTAATGTGATTCCAATGTAAGTGATGGGGCACGAAGTCAACAGTCCTTGTTTTGTACAAAAGTACATTTCAAAGTTTTGCTGAAGCTAACATGAAGCTTCAGCAATCTGATGTGGATTTTGTCCCCTGTCTCTTCTATTTGAAGCGCACATTAGGAAGGGATCTCTTCATGGGCAGAATGAACAGGAAGAATAATTACAGTGTGCATATGGACATTAAGTATTGCTTTAAGACAGACTTGAAAGAACGTGAACCTATCCTTTAACAGCAAGCTGGAGAACTTACTGTCGTCGACAGAGGTTTGCTGTGTTGTGACTCCTGGTTACTGAATAGAGATAGGAATAATTGTCGCTTTTAAGATGCATCTTTAGCTTTTTGTCTTAACAGTAGCTCTTAATAGATGAGTTAATAAGAGAACAAGAGTAGAGTCCTTGCATCCATTGACATCCCAAGCGGTTACTGAAGAAACCATAGACATTGATAGAAAAAGACTAAAAACAAAAGAGTTGCTGTAATTGCTGTCCTCCCCATCATCTGCATCTCCTCTTCAACTAACCTCAGCGATGGGTTGAATCTTTCCGGTTATATCACAGAAGAAGTATGTGGCTCTAATGTTTTGCATGCTCTGCACTCAGTTTGAGCTTCCAAAATGTTAGAAATAAACCATGTCACTCAAGTCTTCATTTACCTTCTCATTCTCTCCTCACGTGTTAAATCACTCATTGTACTGTCTCTTTTTCTTTCATAATTTTTTGTCTCCACGGCACAGTGTGCACGCCTTCTCTCTCTCTGCTGCTGCTACATGCCATATGATAATGTGTGCCATCTGATAATGACTGTTCAGCTCTTCTGTTTGTACTTTCAGCTGTTTCTTCTTGCGGTTGATTTCTTTTTTCTTTTCATTTTTTCTATCTGATTTTTCTTTGTTCTTCTCCTGATTGCATGCTAGTCTCACAAGCGACTTTCCAAAGTAAGCATTACTCTTTTTTCTGTTCTTCAAATATCTCTGTGCCCACCTTCCCTCAGCCCCCCACCTCTTGTCTTGTGAGCTGCTCTGTGGAAATGTCCGAACCCTGTTTGCGATGCATCACCCTGAACCCAGCTTGTTCCCGTGCAAAGTGCAACCGTTACAAGCCCCATCTGCACCCACAATCATAGCGGACGGACATTTCATGAAACAGACAACCCCACACAACCGCACTCACTTTTTCTCCTCTCTTGTCCTTTCCTTTCTTTTCATTTCTGGTGATATGCAATGTAGCAAATTCCTGATTACATTTTCAAATATTTGTATTAAGCTTGGTATACATACTATATATAAATATAGCCAGGATCAGGATTTGCTCTTTTTTTGTAGGGAAATTAAAAAAAACTAATTTTTAAAAGGCAAATACAAACATATAATCGAGACATGGAGCCTTATTTTTTTAAATTTTGTGAGATTCCAAAAATAAAAAGGAATGTCTCTGGTACAAATTACTAATAAACAATAGTGCAAATAGTGCACTGTCTAAAGTCCTTTCTCTTTTCCTCTTTTTCTACTTTGGCCTGTATCCCGTCCCTCTCTTTACAAACTTATCCCGTTGTTACATTTTGGTAATGAGAGCTTTATATCTGTCATGCTGTGTAACTGCCTGGCTGCAGAGGGATTAACTCTTAAAAATCCTGCCAGCAGCCCAGTCCAGAGCTTCAGGACTACATCATTATTTGAGCCGCCTCTCTGTTGCCACATGAGAGGATGCCTCCTGCTCCTTTTATTCCCGCACCACAAGCCCAAAATCCCCCTTCCCTTCCTGTGAATAAACTGCAGGCTGGCGTCCCATTTTAATGCATTGCCCATATTGTCACTTCATCCATCCAATTTGCTACTTCTCAGACTTCATCCCACTTTATTTTGTCACTCAAATAAATGTATTGCTGGGTATATAGGGAGCCAGTGTATAGGGTCTCATTTGTGTCCAAGTGTCATAGACAGTCAAACACAGGGAGACAAAGAAACAGGGAGGTTGGTGTGAACATCAGCAGTACTCTGTTTGCTGCTATGCTTATGTATGTTTACACACACACACACACACACCCCCCAATTGATTACATCGCTTTTCATTTCCCTGCCACAGTCCAAGCCTCCACCACCGCCCAGACACTGTTACAATCCCCTCCCCACCCACCCCCACGTGAGCCTCTGTGGTCAGCAGTGGTCACATGATCCCAGACATGGCGTGAGGTCGTCCCGGCAACGTGAGCTTGATCACCCTAGCCCTAATGCAATCCAAATAAAAGAGTGCATTCAGCGAAAGTGACCACGACACAACAATAATCAATCTGGCTTCTCATGGAACATACAAGCTAGATGGAGAGTCAGATTTAGTAGCACAATGACATTTTCAACATCGGACCTCTGAAGCAGTCGCATTGTAATGGCAGCTATGTGCTTCAGAGTTGTTTATGAGCCAAAACCACTGGACCTCAGCTTCTCATCTCCCATTTTCTTTTTCTTTGTGTTCATATTGCTCACTGCTTTGGTTAATGTTTTGTTTTCTCTTTTAATTTTCTTTCAGTATGACAGACTAAACCTGATTAAAGTAAGCATTTCTTCTTGTTTTCATTTGACCCATTGACAATCCCCGCTGGCCCCCATTAAATCCCCTGGCCCTCCACTTCCTCTGTAGCTGTGCGACTGTAGGATCCCCTTTGATAGTTTCAGTCCCTCTTGTCCTTTGCCATGCTTTTACATCCCCTGAATTAATGTGAAAGGACAATGATTTGTGAACTGTGTGAAGTTGTTTATTTTAAAATTTATTTTTATTGGAGACTCTGCATTAGTTAAAGCCTGTTGTAATCTAAAATCTGATGCCACCCTCGTATTTGTTTGCTGTGACAGGCCAGGTCGGTGGGGTTTATTACCGCCACTTGCACTTATGTATGAGTACTTTCAAACAGTTCTGTTAATTCATTTTGTGACAACAAGACAGCCATCAAAGTATTATAAGAGATTGTCAGAGAGACATTTTTATTTTTCTAACTTAGAGCTAATTCTTCTGAAGCTGTGTATCCAGCAAAAAAGTTCTAATTTCTGTAATCCACAGTCCCATGACATTTAAACCATAGAACACACACACACATACATATATATATATATATATATATATATATATCCACTATACCACCACTATAGCTCCAGAGAGGAGTCTCTCTCTCTCTCTCTCTCTCTCTCTCTGCATGTATATAATCACAATAAGTAGTCTCTCTCCATGTAAACAATGCTGTCATAAATCTTGCAAACTCCCTTTTGTGCAGTCACACAAAGTCAAACACAGTGGCACACACACACACTCACACACAACTTATCCTGACAGGGGCCTCAGAGTAATTCCTCTCTATGTCTCTCTGTCACCTTCAGATCAGATTAGCCCACATTAGTTCAGCTATCGTCACAGCCAGGCCTCGGGCCTGCTCACTGCCCGCTAACACCACACACACCAGATAACCACCAAACCCTGTCAGACAGAGAAAACTCAGATGACTAGGCGTTTTTGTTTAAACCCTGTTCAAAATTCATTCTCTTCAGTTTTATTATGATAATCAGTATTGACAAGTATGCAAAATGCAGTAATGTTTAACAGTGGTCTTGCTAGGAAAGGTCCAATTACAACACATCATAAAAATGTCTCAGTAATAGGACGACTTTTTTGCTAGTTCATTTTTGGAATTCCTTGTTGCTTTAACCTAAAATTTGGTGCTTTTAGTTATTGTACCACTGGAATCAGACACTGGATATCACTTTTTACCCCTCTTCTCTACCTCCTTTCCCCCTGAATACCGTCTTCCTTCTTTCCTTGTTTGAATGATCACCTGCATGTTTCCCCTCTGGGACTTTTGCTCTTAGACTGTTAGAGCGGAAATTATGTTCATGTGGCTGGAAAATGTTGTCAGTCATAGTCATGATTAAGATATATCTCTGCTGCCCTCTGTTGTTATGAAACTGCAATTATTTGTTTGTGAAGAGCACACACATAAATGATAAATGATAAGTCACATTCTCATCTTATCTTCCCACTTCTCACAACACTGCTAATAAGCTGAAATCATTCCACTTATTAAGTATATATATATATATATATATATATATATATATATATATATATATATATATATTACATCTATAGATATCTGTATATATATACATGTGTGTATTATTTGCGAGAACTGAAACAGAACTTTCAGGTTTAAAATCAAGCACAGTTGAAACCAGACAGTCACTGGCTTTTAAATATTGTTGATAACTTACTTACTGTAATTCCTGGCAGGAATGAGTTCGAGGTACAGTGTGACCTTCACATCTCACACTCTGTATGTCTGCTGAGGTTTGATCAAGCGTCACAGACTTAAATAAATCTTCTGTCTCTCTCTCTCTTTTTCTCTCCACAGAAGAGCCAAAGCTGGTACAACGTAAGTAACACCTTGTTTTTATTTACATTATTATAGTCTCTTGTAGTTGTGTATATGTGCTGGTGTGAGTTCACGTAATAAGGGTGACTCCTGGAAGTCTCTCGAAGTTGTTTTAATGGTGAGTGCTGTGTACAAGATCAAAGGTTGCTGTCCTTAACCCGTTTAAGTGGAGCTAGTGTGGGTTACTAGTCCTCCAGGCAGGGATTAGCATGGGTTTAAAGAGCAACAGGTGGACCTTTCTGATGCAGGAAATCAAGGCAGTGAGAAGACTACTGTAGGCTATAAAATATGATCATTTAACCAAATTTCTTCATCATAGTGTACACAGTACATAGACTCATCAAAGCCTGATTGTTGCAGTTTTATATTGCACCACAAGATGGAGTGCTAACACTATTTCTGAGCACACCATAATCCTTTTACATGAGGTCAGTTGATGAACAGCCCCCTAGTATTTAATTGCAGCCAATTTTTACAATGAAAAGATGCCTGTTTATTACATCCACAGAATGAGTGTTGGACTTTACACCTCTCTGTTGTGTTAAACCCTACTTTCTCCAGAAGTGTCTTTGTTGGTCCCATTTTATGTTGTTTTATTTATTTTCTATTTTTTATTCCCTGTGTATACACTCTTCCCCTCTCTCCCCAGCATGAAAGACAACACATCCTGAGAGTAAGCATGACTTGTATTCTTGTGCAACCCTGGATATCTTCCTGTCTCTCTCGCTCTATATCTTGGTTATCAGACCGGTGGAATGACAAGATCTCTCCTGCCTGTTCCATTCCATTGACTTCAGTCGGTGTTGTTACCACCTAACAGCAAAGACACACTTTGAAGGAAGTGATTCTGACAATCGGACAATGTTGTAATAGACCTTCAATGTTTGTCTAACTAACCCCCTATAGTTTCAATTACTGAATGATGCTTTTCTAGTGGTCTTATTTAATTTATTCAAAATTGTATTGACCAGTGTTCTGGATTTGTATTTCACAAGTACCTTAGATGGTTGCTAAAGGCCTGTCACGACTCAAGCTTCTAAATCTGGTACGCAACAGGTGGTAACAAGCCCACTGAGTTCCTCACTGTACTAAACAAATCCACAAACTATCACAAGGGCCTCTGGACGAGCCTTGAATGCCTTTGAACAACAGGGGAATGGAGCATGGTGCTTTAGATGGCATGTTTCCCTCCAGCCTGACTCTGTTTTTGTGTCCATGTCCTAATAAATATGAACGCTAGGACCTTTAGGCTTTAGGGTTAAGGTCACAGTCAGAAGAAAATACAGGGACCTCCCAGCAGATCGGGAAGATGGAGAAATGTTGAGTTCAAAAGAGGCTTTGTCCAAAAAGTCCTGACAGCTTCCTAAAATACTTCTCTAATGCACTCAGCTATAGTAAGCCACTCACATTTCCTCTACTGACCTGCTATCTAGAAAGTAACAATCTAGAGTTGATGTTGCTCTAACTTGCACACTTTCATGTCTAACAGATATAAACATGTTTACAGATGACATACACCTGGCTACTAACACAGTATACATCAAGTGTACAAGACAGCAGGACCATCTGCTCTCATCATTAAATGCACTGCAAAAAAAAGTGCATCATCTATTGAATCCCAAAATTTAATTTTCTTAAAGCATATTTTATTGCCTGCAAATCCTGCGAAAGGATCAAAAACAACGAGTTGATTCTACTAACAAGTATTGTCTGTGTAGCCAAAACCCAATAGACCTGATATCTTATCCCTCTGTGCCATAGATCTCTGTTGTTGAGTCATACAGTTACACTGGGTGACATGTTCCTTCATTATCATGAACACACACACTGCAGTTTGTTTTTGACTCAGTCCCACATACAACATCCTGATCCCAGAAATGCACACTAGCCAAGCATGTGTATTAATCCGGAGCTGAAAGGTCCGCAACAAATAAATGATTAACACAGTTTGAGTAAAATTTGCTTAAAACCACAGTGCCTAGCTGTTTAAGAAAATGACTTAGCCTTTATAAAAATGATGTGTGGTCCAAGGTTTATGTCTTCAGTAGCAGCCAGTGGGTTTGGAGCGAAGTTCCACAGATAGAGTGAGAAAGTTGGAAAGGATGGAGAGATGGACTAACACCTCGTTGGTTTTGGTCTTTTCATAGGATTTGTTGACGATAATAAAAAAATGTAGAGCAACAAAGTCCTTTTTAAAACAAGTGAATGTGCCAACTAGTTTAGAACATTTCACCTGCTTCCAATACAAGTTATTTATAACGTTTTCTCGATTCCTTGCAGTAAGTGTCGTCAAACCACACTGAGATCCTTTTTTTCTGGTTTTCAGTACTAAATTAAGTAAGTGCTAAGGATTAAAAATCTGAAAATCTGACCAAATGGTTTGCGTAGATAGATGTTTTTTGCTAAGTAGAGTTGGCAGGGTGAATGAGAGTGGAATTTCACCATCACAATTGATTCATCAATGGTGAATTTATCTTTAGAAAAATGGTCATCTCAGTCAGTATTGGAGCTGGTTTCCTGACATCTTGTACCGTAACACATGCAGCAAATACTGAAGTTCCATAAATATGTGAAATATGTCCGATTGGTACTTTTAACGCAGTTGGCTGTGACTGTTATGTGTAGGTGTCGTACTCATGATGTACCTGCATGTAGGACAATGTGTGCGTTTGTGTATGTGTGCACCTCTACATGGCAATGATGACTACCCATGGCACTGAAACCACAGTGATTAAAACTCCATCCGTCCTAATGTGAGTTCTGAGCCTGTTAGAGATGCGCACAGTGGCCATCTTTCTGCAACAGGCCTCTAATGGCGCCCCGTTCATTCGCTTTGCATCTACACAAGTTTGTCGCCGTACTTCCATGGCAACCATACCCGCAGGCTCCAGGAAGTTAGCAAAAAGAGGGAAAACACTGTCAAACAGTGCAGTTTAGTGAGACTTTTAGACTTTGAACAAATTTATTTTGTTAATGTCTGCATAGATCAATGCAGCAGAGTGTATACATCAGGCCTTTGATATACACACCCATATACAGTGGGTACGGAAAGTATTCAGACCCCTTTAAATTTTTCACTCTTTGTTTCATTGCAGCCATTTTCCAAAAATCAAAAAAGTTCATTTTATTTCTCAGTAATGTACACTCAGCACCCCATCTTGACTGAAAAAAACAGAAATGTAGAAATTTTTGCAAATTTATTAAAAAAGAAAAACTGAAATATCACATGGTCATAAGTATTCAGACCCTTTGCTCAGTATTTAGTAGAAGCACCCTTTTGATCTAATACAGCCATGAGTCGTTTTGGGAAAGATGCAACAAGTTTTTCACATCTGGATTTGGGTATCCTCTGCCATTCCTCCTTGCAGATCCTCTCCAGTTCTGTCAGGTTGGATGGTAAACGTTGGTGGACAGCCATTTTCAGGTCTCTCCAGAGATGCTCAATTGCGTTTAAGTCAGGGCTCTGGCTGGGCCATTCAAGAACAGCCACGGAGTTGTTGAGAAGCCACTCCTTCGTTATTTTAGCGGTGTGCTTAGGGTCATTGTCTTGTTGGAAGGTAAACCTTCGGCCCAGTCTGAGGTCCAGAGCACTCTGGAAAAGGTTTTCGTCCAGGATATCCCTGTACTTGGCCGCATTCATCTTTCCCTCGATTGCAACCAGTCGTCCTGTCCCTGCAGCTGAAAACCCCCCACAGCATGATGCTGCCACCACCATGCTTCACTGTTGAGACTGTATTGGACAGGTGATTAGCAGTTCCTGGTTTTCTCCACACATACCGCTTAGAATTAAGGCCAAAAAGTTCTATCTTGGTCTCATCAGACCAGAGGATCTTATTTATCACCATCTTCGAGTCCTTCAGGTGTTTTTTAGCAAACTCCATGCGGGCTTTCATGTGTCTTGCACTGAGGAGAGGCTTCCGTCGGGCCACTCTGCCATAAAGCCCCGACTGGTGGATTGCTGCAGTGATGGTTGACTTACTACAACTTTCTACCATCTCCCGACTGCATCTCTGGAGCTCAGCCACAGTGACCTTTGGGTTCTTCTTTACCTCTCTCACCAAGGCTCTTCTCCCCCGATAGCTCAGTTTGGCCGGACGGCCAGCTCTAGGAAGGGTTCTGGTCGTCCCAAATGTCTTCCATTTGAGGATTATGGAGGCCACTGTGCTCTTAGGAACCTTAAGTGCAGCAGAAATTTTTTTGTAACCTTGGCCAGATCTGTGCCTTGCCACAATTCTGTCTCTGAGCTCTTCAGGCAGTTCCTTTGACCTCATGATTCTCATTTGCTCTGACATGCACTGTGAGCTGTAAGGTCTTATATAGACAGGTGTGTGGCTTTCCTAATCAAGTCCAATCAGTATAATCAAACACAGCTGGACTCAAATGAAGGTGTAGAACCATCTCAAGGATGATCAGAAGAAATAGACAGCACCTGAGTTAAATATGAGTGTCACGGCAAAGGGTCTGAATACTTCTGACCATGTGATATTTCAGTTTTTCTTTTTTAATAAATTTGCAAAAATTTCTACATTTCTGTTTTTTTCTGTCAAGATGGGGTGCTGAGTGTACATTACTGAGAAATAAAATGAACTTTTTTGATTTTTGGAAAATGGCTGCAATGAAACAAAGAGTGAAAAATTTAAAGGGGTCTGAATACTTTCCGTACCCACTGTAGTTGATAGATATAGAATGGGATTGTTGTCAACAGGATGGACACACACACCTCTAGCCCTCACCCCCTCTTAAAACACTAAAACCTCACCCTGGTTGACAGTACCAGTCTCTCCCATCCCCTACTGTTTGTCCAGCGAGTTAATGGTTAACTCCATATCCATAAACATTGTTTATCCGCAGTCCCACCTCATCCCAAGTCTCATGCCGTCACACTGAACGCAGCATAAGGCACAATGGCCTTATTCTTTGCTTGATTTATTGGAGAAAATTATTTGAATGAGCGGGAAATAAAGGACTGCTCTCAACAAGTCATTCCGAGGAGTGATCCGGCTGCAATTGTTAGCCAATGAAATTTCATCCACATGATGTAAGGGCTTGCTGTGTCTGAATGATCAACACTGTTTTCCAAGAGGCCTGCTACTGAAGATTATTTTCCAAGTCTCATCCGCTTCAGATTGTCTCCTCAGTGTTTGGTTCAAGTGGGGATTTGGGAAATAACAGCAGAGGAAAAGTGGATGTCATGGCTGAATTCCAGTGCACAAATGTGGGCTATACATTTGCTCCATTCAGCAGGAGTCAATGAAATGCAAGCTGTAGCCACACTGGTGTTCTGTTTCTTTTATTGCTCTAGGACCTCCATCACCATGCCCACCTTTTTGACTCCTTATATTATATATATTATACACTCCTCCTATTTTTAGTTACGAATAGTGGGAGGACATGCACCACCAATAGTTTTTTAAGCACTGCTAAAATAGGAGCTGCAATGTCTGTCTTACCTGTTAAGAGTAACTGAGGGTGACCAACTATCATGAGTACATGAATAAGCTCAGTATCGAAAGAGGGGACGCCTTGATAACTTCAACACCTTCAAATATACCTTGGAGTCCAGCAGCTTTTCATACATAAAATGAAACAGACAAACGGCCACAACACCCTGCAATCGAAGCTCTGGACTGCAACCCATTGCAGACCCTGTCAAGATTGATGGTGTTGTTTTGCAGGCGGAGGTAACTGGAGGTTATTCTCACATCTGTTCTCTGTAACACTATCACTTGGTCGGACAGCAAGACGAACTCAACACAGAATTCACCAGACTGAAGACACTAATTTCCCTCTTTGATTCAGTCCTGTTCTTTCTTTCTTACTGTAGCTTCTTTCTTCCCAGCCATAAATTTTGTTTGTATTAGTCGTCCTCTCCACAAAGTAAACTTGTCTTCATTCTTTGCTGGTTATAAACCGGGTAATTACAAGGCACTCAGACCTGGACAGCACCACACACACACACACACTCAGCTCGTACACTTACTAGGAGGAGTAAGCAGGAAAAAAGGAAAAGCTACTGGCATGATAATAAAGGACTTGTTGGCCGGGGTTACTAGAGGGCAACGGCCATAACTCTTCTCCCTGTGTGTGTGAAAGGACGAGAGAGAGAGAGAGAGCCAGAGAACGACAGAGCTAGACAAGGATCATGTGGCTGGAGTGTGCCGTGTCCACCGCTCAACGCTAAAAGGGAGCAGCACCCAAAACAGGGGGCGGATACTGCAGCTTCCAAACCACTGGACTCACAAGCTCTGTCTGCTCTTATTTTCCAAGCCTTCTGTAACTGATAAGTCCTCCAACGTCAGAAGAGCCCACTGGGGCCCAGTTTTGGAAAATTTGCTTCCGTCCAGGCGCCAAAAAGGATCTGGCGCGGTAATTATGGAGTTGTATGAGGACTGTACGATGTCGGACTGGGAGGCCATGCTGGAGCTGGATGAGGCGTTAGCAGGGTGGCTTCTGCAGGGTCCAGCTAGAGGGGAGTGGGGTTGGGAGTGGGGCTTGGCTGACACAGACCTTCAGGACCCTGAGTGGGACACTGAGGAGATCCCTGCTGTAAGTTAACCTCCACTTGTAAGCTGAAAAAAGGAGAGGAGTGAACAAAATGTTGAGAAGTAAAAAAAAAAAAACATAAAAAATATTGGGGGTTTAGAAAGATTTACTGAACTCTTTTTGGGCAAAGTAAAGTCACACGAGTGAGGTCGGCAAAAAGGCTTTGTAGCAAGCTTTACTGTATGCTGCTGTAAGCATTTTGTGGTATTTCCCCACTACTAAAGAAAACAACTGGTCTGGGTATGAGTCATAGCTATTTGAATTCTCACAGAGCTCATGGAGACCTGTTGTTTATAGTGTTCATCACATTACTGGGGTGTTTGGCTGTTTCTGCTCACCGATGAAGGTTTAAAAAGGAAGCATCATGATTGCATGAAAGCAGTTAATTAGTCAATTCCAGGCAGTTAGTAAGGGCTTTAAGAGATGTCACTGTTTTTTTTAGAGCAATTTTTCCTCATCACCTCACCTCCCTCAAAGGCGAGGAGAAGCAGAAACAGATACTCCCAAACAGAATTTCAGTATTTCAGCGTCTTGGTTTTACAAGGCAGGCACATGTAGTGATTTTTAATATGAACAAGCTGTTCTTTTCCCACCAGTCCTGATGCAAAGGAATATCGTATTCTTTTGTCTCAGTATATACCTCTTGTTACTGTATTGCCAGCTATTGTTTCCTGAAGCTTTCCTGTTGAAGGAAAGCATCTGGCACCGACAGTGAGAGCTCTCACTCTGGCACACATTTGGAGATTTTATACATCACAGGCCCTCTCTCTGTAAATAATCAAGTCTGCTGAAGCCAAGCAGAGGAGAGTGGAATCATGTTGAACAGGATATCTCTCCCAGTGCTAAAAAGCATTTGTTTGACCAGGTTAATTATCAAAATCGACAGTTGTGCTTGCATCAGTTGTCCTACCCCTTGTCACTAAACAAAAGCCTCATTGTCAGACACATGTTGCTCTGTAATGCAAATCTGAGAATGTGACTTCTATTGTAAATCCTCATAGTTACGGCTGCATGTGTATTGAATGATCTGCAGCGGGCTGATGTTATGGAATTGCGCTTTAAATCTCTTTTTTACTGAGTATCATTAATGATTCAGCCTTAAAGATAATTCAGGCCACACACCTTTGCTTGTCATTCACTATACATCAATTTCCCGTGCCTGTCAAAATCACCCACAGAATTAAAGCCATGGTATAATCAGAGTGAACCAGACATCCTGGTCAAACCTGTGGGGGGTTTTAACAAGGTTATCTCAAATGCTCGTGGAAACAAAAAAAAAACTTGGGCTGCCCGACGGAGACGGCACTTGTGAGTGAGCGAGTCTGAGAGCATGACGTGTGTGAGCTTTGGAAGTGTTTGTGTATGTGTGTGTGTGGTGTTTCTGACTCTGCCTGTCACTGCAGGTGCTGAGCCCGACATACAAGCAGCGCAATGAGGACTTTAGGAAACTCTTCAAGCAGCTCCCTGACACAGAGAGACTCATTGTGGGTGAGTTGACACCATGGACAAACAGGGGCCATTTGAGGACTTGCAGGGTGCAGCAAAGCTGTTTGTAATTATAAAATGATTAATCCTGACAGAAATGGACAGGAGACATACAAACAAATATTGGACATTCCAAGTGTGGAACATCATGACATGATTTTAATATGTCTAGATCAGTGGTTCTCAAACAAATTAGACCATGCCCCCCTATTTGATAAGATTTTGTCCCAGGATCGCCAATCTGATAGGATTTTGACTTTAAGATGTTTTATTTCAGAAAGTGTGACCAAAATAGTCATACGTTATAGTTATAGTTGAATCATTAAACAGTCCCTCCAGGATTTTGCAGGCCTTACACTAACCCTAACCCTGCATATATTCAAACCAACTTACCTTGGTTCTTTCAGCGCTTGCAATTGACTCGTTCGACATGTTCAGCCACAATACTAATCGTTTGGTAGAACAGTTTACCCCTGCTTTGGTAAAGATCCGGACACTTTTTTTTTTACGGTCCTTTTGTTGTCAAATGTGAGACCTTAGTATCACACATGTCTGCTGCGTCTTGTAAACAAGGAACAAGCTGATGACAAGCTGACTTATGACGTTTTGCGGGAAACCGCAATGATAGGTCAAGTTTACGGAAAAGTTGAGGTGATTCTTCACAATTGCATGTCCCGCTAAATTCACTGGGATTTGTTGAATTTGTGTTAATAGTTGTTATAGTAAAATCCTGGAGGGACTGAATTATAGTAAAAATAAATGATTCCCCTTTTTGCTGGGGACCCCCTGGAACTCCCTCAATGTACGCTGGGGGTCCCTGGACCCCACTATAAGAACCGCTGGTCTAGATTGCTGATAACGTAACAAATACTGTTTTCAGACACTTTCCTCTGCTTATTTTGAGGAATTTATAATCTGATAGTGAACTTTTCCAGTAGTCTTGTCTTCACACCTCACTGTGCCATGAACACCTAATGTCACAAGTTTGGTTTATTTGTTGTTGCATGATTTTCTCCAATGAATACAATGAAATGTCATTGTAAGAAATTATTTGAATGATAAAGCTCTAGGCTGAGCTCAGAGTGTGACTTTGACTGTTACGTTTGTTAATGATAAGTTCATATCTTAATAAAACGAAGATAAAGATAAACACAAACGGAGTGCAAAATTGCACTGCAGTGAGGTTTCATGGATATTAGCATGTCCTAATGTCTGATTTATTGATGAACATAATTTTAATGATTATTTAGCAATCTTGTATTTTAATGATTTAGTTTCTCTGTGACTTAATTTGAAATTTAGCATCATACTTACCTTGTGTGGTGGTAGTTATGTGACATTTGTGTTCCAGACTACTCCTGTGCTCTTCAACGGGACATCCTCCTGCAGGGACGACTCTACCTCTCCGAGAACTGGATCTGTTTCTATAGCAACATATTCCGCTGGGAAACACTGGTATGCTTGTTATCACTCAGTGCCTCTGTGCATTCCCATGTTTTTGATGAACTGGCAGTATTGGGTTATACTTGGAACTATAATGCATGTGTGTGTGTATGTATAATTGTGTGTGTGTGTGTGTGTGTGTGTGTAGCTGACAGTGCGGCTAAAGGACATCTGCTCAATGACAAAAGAGAAGACTGCCCGCCTCATTCCCAATGCCATCCAGGTCTGCACAGACACTGAGAAGGTAAAGGATGCAGACATTTATATAAGCAACAACTTACACAGAGTGGAAACCAACATAGGCGTACCTAAGTGAACAGTGAATATGTTTTTTAATCAGACAGTACGCCTTGAGGTACAAAGTCTGGCTGGTAACAGGGAGATTGATGATTTCATCTTTACCGCCAAGAGGGAGCACATGTTCTTGTCACAAATTGGTGACTGGAGAATGGTTGGCAAGATATTAATGCCCATCATTACAGCAATATTACACAAAATATGTCTCAAATTAAAATAAAACCAGATTTGAAGGTTTTAATCCATGCTCCTCTGAAATGACCCTTTTATATTCCACAGTTTGTGCTATTCATATCCACTGCTAAACCAGACTCGTTTATAATTACCATGTATTGTTGACAGCACTTTTTCACCTCATTTGGAGCAAGGGACAGGACATACATGATGATGTTCAGACTGTGGCAGAACGCACTGCTGGACAAGGTAAGCAAATCTGACCTGCTAGCCTGACCTGCAAAGAAGACAACACTCTCTTTTTTATCACACATTTTACTCTCAGTTTTGTTTTCTCCTCGAGTCGTCTAATTTTTTTTCTTTGGTTGGTTGATGCCTCTTGCAGCCCCTGTGCCCCAAGGAACTGTGGCACTTTGTTCATCAGTGCTATGGCAACGAGCTCGGCCTAACCAGTGACGATGAGGACTATGTTCCCCCTGATGATGACTTCAATACTATGGGGTGAGTTTGTTTATGCTGCAGCATAAGTTACTGTGGTTACCAACACTACAGGCATTTTCAGTTGATGACCTAATTACCCAAATTACAAAATAATTAGATATCCCAATATTAGCTGTCTGCTACTTTACACAGCATTTGTGTGAAACTCCTTGCTTTATCAAATTCAAATTAGCTTTATTGGCATGAATGTGTAACAACAACATTGCCAAAGCATCATACATACAACATAAGAACAATCAACCCCATACATTTCATTTGCTTTTCCTTGCTTTATCAGAGGGGATGGGTTCTGCTGAGCAACTAGGGAAAACGTTTAAGGCTGCAAAAGATGTGACACTCTAAATGCTGCATTCACCGGGAGGCTTAAAAAGAGCACTCTCTGCTCCGTCTCTTCCATCATTTACATTTTACCCTCAGTGGATTTACAAGGTGAAATCAATACAGAGTTTGAACCTGATTGGTCTCCAGGGCACTCATGTTTTCTGTCCGCTCGCCTTTGAGGAAATGCGGGTTTACGTATGTGATGTGAACAATTTGACAGCATACTCTTCTGCCTATATCCAGCAGCCCGTACACATCTCTGGGTGAACTCAAACTGACAATGCCTGTCCATAAAAAACATAAAAAGTCTGCAAACACAACTTAACACAGGTTTTACATGATGTGTGATGAGTAGATCTGAGTAAAGCTCTTCGCCTGTCGCTGGTGCCTTCAGGTTCAGTGAAGAGATTCCCAATGAAGAGAATGAGATCAACAATGACAACTTGTCTAAGAGCAGTGCCGAGGCCAAGCCCGAGGGGAGCCCTCCTCTGCTTCATAAGAAGGTCATCCCAAACAGCACCATCCCCAGCCCAGGCAACCATGACACACCCATCGCAGTAAGTTGTATACTGTGCTTTAATACCCACACATACACACACACACACACACACTATACACACATATTTCCTTGATAAACAGGGAAACATTATATGTGATTGATGCCTACTGATTTGTCTTTTCCCCAGTTTGACCTCCCAGCAGAAGAGTATGCAGACTGCCTACCAGACGGCGAGCTGCTTGCTGTACCACTGTTGGTGGAAGAGAAGAACATTGATACCAGCGGGCCTGGTGGTCCTGTCCCCTCACCATCTCTGGACTTCAATGACAATGAAGACATCCCCACTGAGCTCAGCGATTCCTCCGAAACACACGATGAGGGTAACCACACTGAACAGAATGAACATAAATACATAATGTAGTCTGCTGTTTTATAGATTTCACCACTCTGAACCCATTTGTCATCTTGCGTCTGTGTCGGATGTGTAGGTGAAGTACAGGCCTTCCACGATGATCTGAATGGCAGGCAGTACATCAATGAGGTCTACAAATTCAGTGTGGACAAGCTCTATGACATCCTCTTCACAGAGTCGCAGTTCATGAGTGACTTCATGGAACAGAGACGATTCTCAGGTGAGTATTTCCGAGGCTTCTACAGTTGACCTCTGACCCGAGAATATGCTCCCCTGCAGGCTCCATTCATTCATTCATTCATTCATGTCTCTATCTCATCATTTTGCTGTGTAGATGTGGTGTACCACCCGTGGAAGAAGGAAGATGATGGGAACCAGACCAGAGAGATCCTGTACACCATCTCGCTGTCCAACCCCCTGGCCCCCAAAACAGCCACAGTCACAGAGACACAGGTACGGTCAACTCTAGTTCATCAGACACATTTCTTATTATTTATACCTCCTGTGACTGAGGTGGCCTTCAAAATAACAATCAATTAAACCAAACATTCCGTCTTTTATCAGACTCTGTACAAAGCCAGTCAGGAGAGTGAGTGTTACATCATCGACGCTGAGGTCATCACACATGACGTGCCCTACCACGATTACTTCTACACTCTCAACCGCTACATGCTCACAAGGGTGGCCAAGAACAAGTGCCGGTTACGGTGAGTAAGACGTGGTCAGATGCTCACAGCTCACACCTGGCAAATGAGATGTGTTATGTTCATGTAATTCTGTATTTTTATATCCTGTCTGATTTTATTTTGGATTGTCTGTTTTATTTGTTAACAACTTTAGGCTACTTTTGAATTTGCTTTCAGTGTAATATTTTACCTATTTTTATTTCCAGTTTTCTTATTGTGAAAGACTGTCTATCTATATGTATGAATGCGTCTCTGTCTGACTCCCAGGGTATCAACAGAGCTGCGCTACAGGAAACAGCCATGGGGACTGGTGAAGGGCTTCATAGAGAAAAACTTTTGGAGCGGGTTAGCAGAGAACTTCCGCCATCTAGGTAAACTTGAGTCTGTTTTAAACATACCTGTCAACCCTCCCGTTTTTCCTGGGATTCTCCTGTTTCAACCTTTCTAAAAAAAAAAAAAAAAAACGCTGTACATTTTTGAAATGTTTGCTACAATCCCCTCCGGTGAAGCAGGTGGCAGTATGTAGAATATTAGCTGTAACAGTGGTGGGAAGCCAATAAAACAAGAAGAAGAACAACGGCAGCGTATTTCACTCGCAAATGCCTCTAAAAATAAGATACATATGAACCAGATAAATGATTGACAATGTGCGAGTAAAGACTGCAGCATACAGTAAATCTTCTGCATGAATGTTTATGATTATTGACTAGGTAGTACTTAGCATTAATAAATTAGAGACCAAAGTAGACTGTGCTTGTTGCTCAAAGATTTAATGAATAAAAACAACCCAGAAAAATGTAACAGCTGTAATTAATATTATGCCTAGTGGTAAACTACATGTGACATTATAATAATAACACAGGTCTCCCTATTAGTTCCAATAATGAATAAATTTAAGAAATATGTAAACATTATACTTAATAGCCTATAGTATGAAATTATCATAATACTTTTATTTAATTTCAGAATATTATAAAGAGTATATAAGAACTTTTTTCAGTGTGCTCAGGTGGGGGGAGGGGGGCTAACAATTTCCTTTTTTATTTTACTTATTTTCAAATCCCAATGTTGACAGGTATGGTTTTGATTATTATAATATGTTGTGATTTCCTTACTGAAAATATATTCATATATTTTTACAAATATATAACAATATTTTATGATTCTTAAATGTTAATGAATAGAGATTTACATTATAATTGTAGTCATGTAGCAGAAATTTAAACCACAGAGAATTAAGCAAACAGAGAATCCATAAAGACTACCGTAAATGTTTTCAAATGTTAGTAATCTTTGTCTCTAGATGAGATGTGGTATGAATGTGTGACAATTGTCTTCTTCCCTCTCAGAGTTAGAGCTGTCCAAGCTGGAGGAGATCCTGACCGAGTCCCACCAGCTGTCACCGAAGGCGAAGGTGGTGAAAAACTCCACGGTGAGGCGGAAGAAGAGGCCCCTCCCCCACATGCGCAGCCAACATCTGGACGAGGCGCTCAGCCCCGTTACCACACCGACGGATGAGGAAGTGATTCAGAGGATCAAACAAGTGGCAGGCTCCACACAAACCAGACACCAGAGTCCAGAACACCACCACCTGCCCGGTGGCATCGCGCTCTACAGCGTCTCCAAACTGCTGCTCATCATCAGCTTTGTGTACGCGACTGATCACACACATACACAAGTGCACAATCAGTCATATAAAGATGCCTGTGTGTTTATACACATGCTCATCACATGCTCATCTCACATAAATTAAAACAGAGAGTTTTTGTTTTGTTTTTTGCTTTCCTATAAATAACTCATTGTCAGTCTCTTGAGTGTAATCTCTCTCTCCTCTCCTTTCATTGCCATCCGTAGGATCTGTCTAAGGTACATTATCTGATTAGCCAGTATAGCCAGATGCATATATTAAAAAGTAATCCCAGCATAGTTTGTAATTGTCATGTACTGATCAGCTACTTAAGGCCGTTGTGAATTAATGCAATGCAAAGGGGAAGACTCATTTGTTGACTCTCCTCTTTTCCTTCTTCAGCCTGGTCCTGCTGGTGTTCCTCAACATGATGCTGTTTTACAAGCTGTGGATGCTGGAGTACTCTGCACAGTCCTTAACAACCTGGCAAGGTCTGCGGCTTCATGAAAGGTACACACACACAAATGTACACACAACTTTTAAATTTGCCCCACCCATCATTGATGCAGAACTCATTTATTTCAAGGTGCTTAATTTATATTTTATATTTTAGAATAGGAAAAAGCATTACCTATCACTGCAGAGGTGAGACTTAGTGGAGTTCTGCTGTAGTTATTTGGCTGTCTGCCCAAAAGGCGACCATACACAAATATATACATACAGTTACAGACATACACACTGTTAAACGTACACACTAAACTATATCCATATGGCCGTTGACGTGTGTGACATGAAAACACTGAGCTCTTAAAATTACCCCTGAATAGCTGTGGGCTTACTGAAACAATTTACCAAACTGTTTGCTGGCAGTTCCTCAAAATGGAAATCATGCTTCAGTGGCTGCACCCTGATGTTTCTAATGTGTGTGTGTTTCCCAGTAAACTGCCTCAGACTCAGATGGAGTGGGCCCAGCTCCTCGAGGCACAGCAGCGTTACCATGACGCCGAGCTGCAGAAGTGGAGGGAGATTATCAAGTCGTCAGTAGTGCTGCTCGACCAGGTACTCAGACACACAGACATTTGTGTCATCACAACTGTGATGTGTGATGTTAGTGATGTTCCCAACTGTTACCAACTCCCAGAGAATTTGCCTGCTTCTGTATGGGGTCACTGGGAGACGGTGTATATATACCGGTAGACGCTTTCAACGGTAACTACATAAACAAACGGGACTGCGCATGTGCATTACTCTGGCCCACACTTAACTTCCAGCAGACTTCCGCAAACAATCCATAACAAGTAAATAACCTTAGCTAGTATTTCTTGCAAGTCGAAGAAAATGAAAGGCCAAACTGAAATGTGATAAGGTCACACTACCAGACCAGCCGAAGAAAGATTTGAGACAAGAATGTTTTTCTACCGACCTGTCTGATTTGCAGTGTTTCCCACAAAATGACAGCGTAATTGAGGCGAGCGCGTGTTGGACGGATTTGTGCGGCGGTGTTCATGATACTAACCATTCAACAGACAGACTGGTCTGCTGTCAATGTGTTTAAATATTTAAAAAATATATATAAAAATAAAACCAAAATCGATATGTCAGCGCTGCTAATGTAGAGGGCTGCCACAAATAAATGAATGTATGGGAAACACTGTACTGGATATCACTCACCACATTAGCCAGTAATCACAAACCCAGTTATAAACAAACAGAACAGAAGTTAACTTCGGGCCGTGCGCATCACCTTGGCAACGCGTCAGATGAAAGCGTCTATATATAACTTGATTTAACTGAGTCCAGCCCTGGACTCTGTGTTGTGTTGGGTGGAGAAATGATGAACAGAAGCCTTGCATCTATTTGTGTGCTGTCATTTATTGTCTGGATAGAAAAAGAAAACCGTATATACTATAGAAGTTCAACTGTTAGCAACACAACGGGCTAGCGTGTATGCCAAGAGCAATATTTCATAGCTCGAAAAACAAATCACACCTCCTCTGCTAAGTGTAGTGTTTCGTGGTTATATTAACTCAATGCACCATTGCCACTACTCGCAGTGGAAAACCTGTTACCCTTGCCTGCTGTACTGTTAATATCTCACAATATGATTCAGGAATTTCTATGCAAAACATAGTGTCACTTGAAATATATCACTATGATGTAACATTTGCCCACCATTAACCTCAAGAATCATACAAAACAACAAAATCTGTTGCACAACATTCAGGGTGCCAGTGCTTTTATATGTGACTTGCTCAGGGACACATTGGTGACTGTGTCACAATGGGGAATTGAACCCGGATCTCTCACACCAAAGGCATGTGCCTTATCCACTGAACCATCACCACCCCATTAAAATATCTGTAAAAATTTAATTTTCAATCCTTGGTATATCACAACAGAATTGCTCATTAAACCACTCCACCCCAAAAGTGAGCACTTTTACTTTCCCAGTCAACATGTATATGGACTGACCTGATGCTATGTTTTCAAATGTTTTATTAAACCAGCTAACACATTGTTTCTTCCTGTTGTTTCTCACCTTTAGATGAAGGACTCTTTATTGAACCTCCAGCGAGGCATTGGCTTAAGGGACTACAGCTCTGAGGCTGAAGAGAAGAGAAGTCGCTATCACTGACACATCACCAGAAGGCCATGAGGGCATGCTGTGCAATATAGGACCTGTTTTGTTTGTGAGCCAGTATGCAGGCAGCAGCAACAGAGAGAGAGAGAGGACAGAGGGGGGAGGTGGGACCAACAGTGAGCTGCTCCAATAGACACAAAGAGGGGAACAGTCGTCTCCAGCGCACAGAGGTTAAAACCCCCAGGAGGAGGAAATCATGGAGTGCCCCAACCACACACAGGAACTGAGGTGTCCCCAACATCACTGAGGCATTGTGGGAAGGTGCAAGACCTGCTCCTTCTCTACCCCTGTGGGATAACCGTTTCCTTCAACTCTCTTTATTTCCAAGTGCATCCTACTGTAAGCCATGTCGACCAGACAGTGGCAGAGAGAAAGAAGGAAAACTACTGCATGCATTTAGACAACCTAGATCCCCTCAGTCAGTGTTAACGTGGTCCAGTTCCAGTCTATGTGTGTCAAAAAAAAGAAGAACAGGAGACGCGGCGAGATCGGGTCAGAGAACATGGGGTCCTTTCGAGTCTTAATGGCTTTCTACACTCTCTAGACTGTTCCAAACCAATCGTCCCCTAGAGGTCCTCGCTGCAGCGTCCCTTCAGTAAACCTCCGCGTGATCAGAGTACAGTATTGTCCCACAACCAAAAAGGAAAAGAAGTGATGCAGCTGGGAGCTTAGCTCCACCGATCAGTCCCTATTGCCTTGTCTGAACCTGGCCTGTATGGTCTTTGTCAGGGCTGGTTCCCTGTCAGACCATTAGTAGAATCTGAAGAATCATGAGACCTAGGCCAGTATTTTTACCCTTATACACAATTCACTTATTCAGTTGCCCCTGCCAGTGTTAGCTACCTTACATTGCATTATTCCTCATCCTGCTAATGAAGTGGAATGTATTAGCCTGTGCAAAAAGGACAGACTTTGATGAATAAGTTGTATTCATCTTTTTATAAAGGGATGCTGCAGCCCGACTAATAGGGAGACCTGTGTTCTTACATGTTTTATTACTAAACTGTGACTATATCTCTTTAAAAATGTTTCAAATTAGAAAGAATTCTATGAATATATTTGAAATATATAAGAATATTTCATTATTTAATATATATTTCAAAATATATAAACATTACCTATATTTATTGTTAATTTATGTACATAAAAAAATTATCAGAGCTCTAGACCAGTTAAAGAATTTCTAACAAAAGTGTTTTCTTCTAAAAATGCATGCCAGATATGTCTGTGACATGTCCAGTGTGCAAGTATGATTCTGCATTCGCGCGATTATCTTCGCGCATGTGTGTGAGTGTGTATGAGTGCGTGCGTACGTGCATGCGTGCATGTGCGCACAAGTGTGTGCTGTAAAGTGTGACATTTTTACCATTCCACACTTGTATGTTTCTTAATTTTTCTTTTCTGGCTCCTGCAGCCAGACTGCCTTTTTTAATGCTAATGCATTTGGATGCCGCCTTGCATTAGCCCCACCAGGGTACAGTTTACAATCGAAGAGTTTTGTTCCAAAATGACATATCCAACATTTGAAAACAATGTTACGCCTACTTTTACAAAATAATTGGTTATTTAAACTATTAATAAATGTAGCTTAAATTCATGGTTGACAAATAGAAGAAGACAGACTTGAGCAAAAACATTTTTAACATTGAATGATGAACTTTTTCTCATGTAAATGGATATATAACATTTTGGAGATGAACCCTTCATCTGCCCTCTGTGAGCAACTCTTTGTCCATGTCACCGTATTAGTGGCTTGACAACTCTTTGCTAAAAGGAATAGTTTGACATTTTGAGAAATTCACTTATTCCCTTTCTTGCCAAAAGTTAGATGATTGCTACCACTCTTGTCTGTACATTAAATATGAAGCTGCAGCCAGCTAGCTAGCTTTGCAAGCTCTTTTTGCTTAGATAACCATCTCCTGGCTTTCGGGACGGGAGTGTACCTATGTTCCTCTGTTCAGTATCCTCTTGACATGGGCCAGTATGTTGAAATCACCCAGCTATAGCTTAAAGATTACTGATGTTATACTCAAATTTGCGAGCAAGACCGTTTTCTTGACTTTAGACATTGATATCTCTACAGTGGACAAATGGATGCTTACTATTCAGTGTGCATTTTGAACATCCATCTCCTTTTCTTTTGCAATTTGAACTGCAAAGAATGCCCTTTCCAATCTCTTACAATGTTTGTTTATATGAAAGGGCACTGACTGGGAACATAGGTGTGAGCCCATCTTTAAATTTTCCCTTTTTTTCTATTCTTTATGCTAAGCTAAGCATCCCCTGGCTGTAGCTTCATATATAGCCTGCAGATAGAAAGCATATAAGAAAGCAAATAAGCATATTTTCTAAAATGCAGCTAGTTCAACCCATATTATACTCTCCCTTCCCCATTTGAAGTGTCTGTCTTGGATGCAATGAAAGCATGAGAATTAACTTTACGCAACTAAATTGAACCAAAAGAAAGAATTAGAAATGTACGTTCACAAATTATTATGTTGTTTTAAATGAAGTATTTATCATGTATGTCATGTATGTTATATGGATCAGGTGCAGGAAAGAGCCTCTCTTAAGAGTTTGCCAACAGAGACCCCTGACAGCAGACAGACTTCAGCGATGAAAGCACTTCCAAAAATTAAAAATACTTCCTTTTGTTTAAAAAAGAGAAAGTGAAGCACTTTAAGGCCTTTTCAGGTAAAGAATGAAAGAAATAAATGGCAGCAGTTTAGTTTAGAGGGGAATGCAGGGCTGAGGAAAATGTTTCTAATTTGTGTTGTAGTTAATTTGACAATCACACTGGTGATTTACAACTATCAGTCATTAGAAATTTTGGATTTTAATCCTGCTGGTTTGTTACTGCTCAAAAATTGTATTATTCTGCCCAAATATAATATTTGGCTATTATTCTATTTAATGTGATTACATGTGAATATCTTTCAATGTCACTTCCCAAAGCGCAATCTAAGACTGAAACGTTCTTGTATATTTCAGGGCAAGGCAAGCATGAGTGAATTGTATGAGGGAAAACGAATCTTTACTGTGTGCCTGCATGGCGTGTTACTGACTGACTTTGTTGAAAACAGCAGAAAAGCTTCAGGATTGGACCACTGCTGTGTGTGTGCGAATATTACATTTGAAGACAGCACTGAGTAATGATAACCCATGGGAACCTTATGAGCTGAATGTGAGTGGTTGGAAATGTTTTCTGTTTTATAGAAATCACTTCCACAATCCTGACGACGCTGAAAGATTAAAGTGAAGCTGTGCTTTGTGTATGTGATGGTACAATGTGATTGAAATGCTTTAAAGAGTTTGTTTTTCAAAGTGTATGATGAAATGGATTTTTCTTTTTCAGATGCTTGAAGTATTTTTTTGTTTGTTTAGAGATTACAAACATTCTCTTACTGTTTTGATGGAGACACGGCACATGTGAGATTTAGTTGGTTTTACTACCCAGCTCTGGTTTTATTGACACCTGATTTCACCCTTGGAACACTGACATTGTATTTACTGTGAAATCGTTTATAGTGACACACAAGTTTTAATATTGAACTGCTGTAAAACCCACATCAACTCTGTCCAAATTACATATTCAGGCTTTGGGCCTCCAAGGAACTGTCACAGCAGACCTGAATTTAAGTTCATCAATTTCAATAATTATGCAAATTAGGTATTTTCTCATCATTCCCTTCAAAACTCCATGATTGTCATTGCCACCAACAAATTTGACTTAAACAAATCTAATCGATTTCTCACAGATAACACCTGTTTGTTGTGTTTTGCTTATTTTTGTATTTAGTCTTTCTTTTCTAGTGTGCACTCACACAGTTACCTGCGTTACACGAATGATTGTATGATTGCTATCGCTGCACGGCTGTGAAACCAAGGTGACCCCGAGAGTTCTGGATGCCACCGTTTTGTCACTAACAACAAATGAATTGTGCGCTGTATTAATTGGAATTTGCCTTGCTGTCACAGAGCCGGCGAGACATTTGTGCAACGCCACCCATACAACACGTCGCTAACAGCCTTGGTTAACACACACGGTAGGAATCACACACAACCTTCTGAAAATGGCCACTCATCAAACTCACAGCAAATGCTCTTCTTTGAGTGTGTCTTGATAAAATATGTCCTGGTGTAGATCTGTTCAAAAAGAATTCTACTGTATGTTTTTTTAGAAAATGTTTTGATCTCTAGAGAGACTTTTAGTGAAATTTATACATGAGATAAATATACTCTAAGTATATGTTGTGTATATCTGCAGTGTGCAAATACACACACACACACACACACACACACACACACACACACAGACAGACAAAAGAAACCAACCTGCGCTGTGCGTAGGTTTTGACTTGCCGGTGACTTTTCCTCATAGAGACTGATGATGGAAGTGGCTTTCTGGTTCATGTGAAGTAGAGATTGGAAGTATGAATAAAAAAGTATATAATATACAAGTGTTGCTATTTTTGGAGTACTTTATTTTTACTTTATTCACACTCATTTCCAGAAAATGTGTGACTGAATCTCATACCATAGGGGAGAGCGGGGTAAGTCGTCTCGTGTGTAAGTTGTCACACTGCTCATAACTCCAACACTAGAGGCCCTATGTCAAAAATGAAATGGCCATTTTGTTTGACTTCTTTTTCTATGTTCAACTTCATGTTCACATGTGGTCACGGTCACTCTAATCTGAGGTGAGCACAATTTTATTATTTTTTTGCAAAAGTAAAACATTTGCACTTCACATTTTATGTATTCCAGCCTTATTAGTTATGAATGTTCAAAATGATAACTTTGCACAAAGTAGAGGAGACAATAACGTGTCTTTTGATGATGAAGAAAATTATCAACAGAAGACAGAATGACAGTACGCCACCTGACATAATGTTAAAGGCAGTCAGGCAGGTGAAGTTGAAGAACAAATCAATCAGAAGTACAGCTAAGAATTTTGACGTAAGCCGCTGACATCTCTTCTATGTGGACCCATTTTCATATAGTATTCGAAAGAAGACGTGGTTTAAGTGTGTGAAATGCAACAAATGGGCCTGTGATGCTTGCACCTCAGGCCAGGCAGTTTATGTGTGCCAGAACTGTGACTCTAAAGACATGTCTGATTAGTCAGATACATATGTAGGTCGTACAAAAATGCACATTGTTGCATTAGTGTGTTTAAACACCACATCTGTTTAGTTAAGAAGTTACACATTTAATAAAGTTATCTGCAGCATTACATTCAGTTACCATAGATCTATTTGCACTCCAGAGAACGTTTGATTTTAAAGTTCAAAGAAAGAGGTTGTCCCACTTAATGTGTGCTCTGCAAACATTTTTGTTTTGAATTAAATTATTTATTTTCCAAATTCTCTAGGCTTGATTGTTGATTGATTTTACTTTTAGTTCTGGTAACAATTTGAAATTGAAATCAATATTCACAATTAAATGTTGTAACTGTTTGATAATCCTGTGTGACAACTTAACCAATGCAGTGTGACAACTTACCTGACGATGGGGCAAATTGTCACAAGTGCACACTCTCTATTCAACAGTCTACAGCTCCATAATGAGATAAGATATGAAGATGTAATGAATACAAAACTTCTGGCCAAGACTTCATTCTTTCATTTGGAATGACATTTGTACCATTGTGATGTACGGTGCTCAGTAAATATTAGATGGTGTGAAAAGTGTGACAACATACCCCGCTCTCCCCTATATGTTATCCCTAAAGATCCAGTACGTTTGACCTCAGGAGACGTTACAGTGGAGTAGTACAGAGGGAGATTGCATGAGGCACCAAGATGAAATATTAATCTTCTAAAAGTTTTGATTTCTAAAAATAAAATCTAATAAAATATTGATGTCAGCTATTGGAGCTTTACTACACACAAGTTTCTCGTAACCTGCAGTCTGCCCATAGGATATCCTTTGGCTCCTTATCTCACTTTTATTACCGTTGCATGAATTCCCTATTAATTACTACTGCCCCTATGTGAAATAAACTCAGCGAGTGAGTGCAGGTGAAAGCTATGATGCAAGTCCACATCATGGAGGCTAAACAGGATGAGACCAGCACTGAAACGAAAGTATGTTCACTGTTTTTATAGAATTCAAAAAAACTAAAAACCCTTATTAGTTTGTTTGTTTTTTCTCAAGTTTTGTAGAAATGTGTTAATGCAGACAATACATAAGCCATTAGCCTGTGCCTCAGTCTAATATTTTATACATTAGAGTGCCAACAGGTGACTTGTAGAAGATTCCCAAATGGGCAACAGTGCTGCTGCTTTAGCTTTGCTCTTTGTTTTGGAGAGGGTGTTTCAGATTCTGAATGTGTTGTTGTGTGGTGACTTTCACTATTCACCTCTTGTCCTACTTATTTCAGTGATGTTGGGACACGTCCTATTAACCTATACACTGTATTTCCTAAAGACTGGCAATTACAACATCTGTATTTTTGAGATGCAGCCTGTTTTGATGTCATGGTATCAGGTTGTGGTGTCCTGTCTAGTCTCTAATTGTGATACAGTTTTATAGCCTTTCTCGCCAGTATTTCAGTCTTGTTATGGTTGTATTCTCGGCTCTGTTGCTACGTGGTTGGCTTTAAATCGTTTCAGAATAATAAAATCCCACTGTTTTACTATACGCCCAGAAATAGCCGTCCCCTGAAGTAGTCCGTTAGTCCCAGGCCAAGATGGGAAAATGGGTGAGGTCGACGCCTCACTGTAATGAATCAAGGGGGATGGGACAACGTTAAGCGCAGCACCCCAGCCTCTCACGTCCAATGAAGGCTGAGAATGGATTTGCAACAGGGAGGAAGACTCCCACTTTATCGCTGTGGCTGGTCGCAGAGGGCGGGGCTCCGTGACTGCGTTTGACAGCTGCGAAATAGAAAATGTATAGCGCATAGATGTTCTGGGAAGCCATGCCGCTCCAAGGCAACCATATTATCACAAGGAATGGGATGCAGCATGGCCCTTGGTAGCCCTCGAATGACCTCGTAAATCTGGACCACCTGGAGAACACGAAATACAAAATAAGGGAAAGATTTAGCTTTTATTGTGCATAATAGAAGCCTGGGATTTTGGGGGGGCAATGCACCGTGCGTTTTCGTTCCCCGTGACTGTGGAGCGCAGTCGGACTAAGGAGCGCCTGGAGGCGAGTCTGGCCGGGCTGTGTGAGCTGGAGCTCCGCAAGCAGAGGCAGGAGTGCCTGGTGCTGGGGGCGCTGGCTCTGGGAGATCTCCTGCCCCAGGACAGCTCCAGAGGAGAGCTGGCATGTTTCAGCAGCTGGGGGCAGGAAAACTTGACACTGAGGCGCCAGCTGGTAAGAAGTTTCAGTGTCTTTTACTGCATGTTTGGATTCCAGCAGCTCTTCCATGTTGACTCACACCATAATACCACACCCTGTGCTAAAACCTCACTTTACCCGACAGTCCTACATAGTTTTGAATATCTAATAGCCTTTACAGCCTATCCACATTGTAATCCGCTTGACCGTTGGATGGACTCTTGTCCTGGGCTGCGCCTTTTGTGTAGAGGTGACCTCTATCTACAAAAAAGTTACTCAACTTGATTAATAGCGTCTCTGTTTAAAAGGATGTACTGCATTTCTGTGCTTTGGGCTGAGATTTATGCCTGTGGGTAACGAAATCAGGGGGTGGAGCACCCGCCGTTTGTAGCGCAGACCGACTATTTAATGGCCCATTGTTCCCTCATCATGGACTTTTGTAGGTTTTACTACTTAACAAGCTCTTATTTGTGCTCCGTACAGATCATAAAGGAATGAGTCATTCCCTCAGCTTGTATGTCGTTGCTGTTGCTGCTAACATTTTATGTCATAATTATTTTAATTGATTAGATGGCTTTTCTTATGTAAAACTCGAGCGAAGTTGCGTAAAGCAGCCTGTGTTCCGCTTTGACCAAGTGATGCCAAGATTAACATGAGAATTGAGAACTGGGCAAATGAAAGTTTCTGGAACAGCAGCTCCTACAGAAAGTTTTACGCACCACTGAGCGTGCCCGTCACTGTACATTATGTCTCATATGGTCTGTATTTTATTTTTATTTTTTAGTTATGCTTCTTAAGTTTGATTTTTTGGGTCTGTGGAGTGTTTCTGTTTGGCTGCTGCTCTCGCGCAGCCCGCAAGCTGTCTAAACATTGCTAAAATAAGAAGCCATTATTAAAAAGAGGGTGAAAAAGAAATTAAATCAGCCGCCTCCTCTTCACACCTCCTTCTCTTCTCCCTCCCTCCTTCTCCTCCGCCGGAGGCCTAACAATAGGCGCATATGGGGCAGAATACTAATGATGGCGACCGAGGCCCCAGTGAGAGGATAAGGCGCATAGGTGGCCAGGCGTCAGTTGGATATGGCATGATATGGGCACTGTGATATTTTTGCCGTTACGAGTCCACGTCTGAGCGTATGGACTAGTTTTAAAATCATGATTAAAACGAATACTAGGCTAATTAGAAAACAAATTCAAGATTTATACTAAACATGTATAATATCGGGGGTCAAGGGCTTCCAATGTGCACGCACACCAGTCTAGAAAATATATCATCATATCCCCCGGTGCTGGCGGAGCTGTCATCGCGTTTCATCCTGGCTCCTCATCCACACACTAACGGGAAACAGCCATTTTTAAGGCTGATGAAGAAACGACACGCGTTTCCCCGCAGGGCTGCAGATTTTTCCCATTTTCTGCGCAAGTCGTCTGTGGATTGATGTTTATTAACTGTTATGCCTATCCAAGCGTGTGAGTAATTACACGGGAAACTCCTCAGAGAATATTGTTGCCCGACAGGACTCTAACTGAAGTCTCAGATTGAGTCTTCACGATATCAGGTCGCCATCTGCGTCCAGGCCAAATCCCCAATCTCATCTTCCACGCGGGTTAAAGTCTCCAAAATGTAGGCCTGTAGTTCACGGTGCGACACAGTAACAACTGACCCATGAGACCGCCGGTGCTTGTTTGTCTGCGCGTGTGAGCGTGCGTGCGTGTTGCTGCCTTGAACATGAATGTGGCCCCGGACAGGCTGAGAGGCCCTTTCTGCTGGATACACTGCATGCTGTTGGAGGTGTTGACAGCTGTAGGACGCCAGACAACAGCTGGGAAAGCATGAAGCTCTGACCTCCCTCTCAGCAACCTACTGTGTCTGTTTGGAGAGATCAGAATAGAATATAATGAATTGTGTATGAGAGTGTCACATTTGTGTGGAGGAGTGTTCTGAAGTTATGTTTGATGTCCTCTGAAAAATATCAATTGACTTAATGGATTCAAATCAAGTCTTTAATTATGACATGTGCATGTGTGTGTTTATGGGCACATGAAAAAGGTCTGCACATGAAAGCAATGTGTCTGCAGTAGGTTTTTCAATTGTGCCTTTGCTGAACCGCTGGCTTGTCTCGATCAGGTTGTGTGTCCTTGTGTTAAGACAGCAGCACATCATTAATGAGAC